AAAGAGAGAGGGAGAGGGATAAACGTGACAGAAAACTCGACGAGGGCAGAGCGGAGGTCGGCACGAAGGCACGAGACCTACGAAAGCTAGTCTTCACGCAGGCAGCGACAGACTAGTCCCAATGACCAAGTTATACATTAGCAATCGGAGGGAGATACAACGCTATGGTCACTCACCTAGTCCCAATGACCAAGAGGTCGAGATGGGGACTAGGGAGTGCCTAAGGGGTCCTTATATACTAGAAGGGCTGCTTAGCAACCAAAGACAAGGCGCGAGAGCGAGGCAGTGAAGATGACAAAGGGAGAACAAAGGGCGGGAAGGAAAAGGCAAAGGCATGGCGATCACGGGAACGTAGCATGCGGGTGTGGGAACGTATCTGCAGTGTCCAAACTGGGATGGGCTAAGAAAGGAAATGGTCCGAAAATGGAAGGTGGGCGTCAAGGGGAGGGGAATGGGCGGCAAAAAGGGGCGTCTGTCCAACGTCCGTGACAGCGCCCCCGGTAAATAGCCCACCGGGCCACAGCAAGGCGTACACGTGGGAGTTGTGTGCAGCACAGTAGCCGCGAAGGCAAGGGGACGGGGGGTCTCCCTAATTCCCCCCCGGTCGCCGAGCAGCGTAGGGGCCACACGACAAATACTGCCCACAGGACAGCTTCCCCCAGGCATTGGGCATAAGCCCCGACCCACACTAGACTGCAGACCGACAGGGCCCACATCCACACCGGATCTGGAGGCGGGTAAGGCCTCGGCGGGGAGTAGGCAGACCCATACAGAGGCGGGGGGCGACGATGGCGGGACATAGCCAGCCTGTGCGGCAGCCCCCAGTGCATGTACTACGTCTGCATGCCTGTGAACCCATATTCCTCGACCACAAGCGAGTCACAGTGGCCCAGGGGCCAAGGACAAGCAGGTGGCTTGCACCACACCTTGGGATGGTGGTGGTACGGAGTCAAGGAGGGTTGACACGCGTGCCCTTCGAACGCGACCTGAGGTGCGGTCAGTGACGTATCTTCGAAGGAATTGAAAGTTCGCCACTCACTACCGCCAAATACCGCACTGATTGGATCTTTGTCGAGTGTTGGCCAATGTGTTGGGGGATCCTCGGCAATGTGACTGCTGCTGCGAGAGGTAAGAGTTCCGTGATCTACAACCATATTGTCGCGGGAGAGGTCAGCGTCATGGAGAGCATCGCGGTCTTCGGTCCCTGACTGACTATGAACAGGAACAAAGTGCTCTTGCAACCCATCCATTTCATGTGATGCGTATGGTGGGGAGTAGGGGCGGTCTCCATCCTCTTCTGAGCCTGGCAGTCCTTGCGCCTCGAACCCAGCTTGGGCGCGAAGCCTGAGTTCCGCCTTCGTCGAACACTTGTCATACTTACGGGGACGCTTTGTGGCCGCACTGGCGGGGTAGTCTCCGACCCCATCGCCGCCTTTCTCCGGCTTTACGTTGAGCTGCCTGATCCCCAGAAAGGCTTAATGGAAGGGTACACCTTGTCCAATGGGGTCCTGAGGGTCAATGTAGGTCAATACATGAGGCAAATTTCCCGTGTATCGACAGCGATAACGCACCGGCGACCCCCTGTGATAGCCGCTGATAGAAAGCTCCTGGTCGGAGCTTAGGCCACAGGGATATCAGTCAAATAAATTTTTCGCTCCTTATAGTTATAGTAAAACGCGAATTATTTCGCCCAAATGTTATAGTGGCCCCTCCAAATATTTGAGAGGGTTGGAGAGATGCCCCTCCCAGATATTTGAGGCGATCCCCAAATAGTTGAGATGTATGTAGGGAGCAAGGGGAGGAGGGTACTCCCCTTCCACCAAATATTTGCCAAATATTTAGAGTCAGCATTATATAGGAAGGACCATGCTCTGCGTGCGCCGTGGGTCCCCCTTGTGATTGCTCCAAATATTTGGTATATAATTCACCCGAATATTCTCCATTTGGTACGGTAGCATGCCCTGTAACGTGAGTGCTCATTCTGGCTTATCTATTACATGCTCGACTATATCTACTGCGGGCAGACGACAAGAGAGCGTGACCGCACACCGGACACCGTGCGTCGTGCACCATATTGAACAAACAATCGCGATTGACAACGAGCAACACTGATAGGAGATGCACCTTCCAGCAACCTGCAAGTTTCGTCCTCACCGATGTTGCGCGTCGCACGCCTCACGAGCAGGTTCTCCGTCCTGCACTTCTCGTGCAACACCTCCGTCCGGATTTTAAGCAGCTGTAACGAGGCACACACAATCGTCAGCCCATGGTCATCTCCACTGAGAAAGGAAGAAGCAGAAGCAAAAGCATCACCGCGGCGCAAAAAATCTGCCGAAGATGAAGACGAAGCCGCGACCTGACAAAACACGACAAAAGACGAACCCTAATGTGCGTCAACATCACGGCCGTCCGCAGCGCGGCAAAGTCGCAGTGCTCCGGGTTCAGCACGTCGACCGTCCCCCACCAGAACCGGCGCAAGAACACGCCCATCAGGTCCACGGGCAGCCCCTGGAGGTATGGGTAGTGGCGCAGCGACACCATCGTTGAGGGGCTGAACGGTGACGTGATCGTGTTCTGCACG